AGAGGGGACTTTCATATGAGACGTTAGGAAGAGGGTGAAGATGTTGAGGCACTGGCACAGGTTGCCCAGAGAAGTTGTGGCTGGCCCATCCCTGGAAATGTTCAAAGCCAGGTTGTATGGAAAGTGTCCTTGCTCATGGCAGGGGGCTTGAAACTAGATGATCTTTAAGGTCCCTTCCAACCCAAACCATTCTATGATCCTATATAAAAATCTGCTTTTAGTTCATTAAAAAAAATTTTTGTATTTTTAAGAAAAAAATCAAAGTCCTTATAGTTGTAATGGACTTCTAATTATAACTGAGATTAGAACAAAAGGTGGGAGGAAATTTTCCAAATTCTTTCTCTTTTAAAAACAGATCAATAATTAAGAATAAATAAATTGAATCATCCAGTTGTTGTTCGCAGTTTTAATAGGCGGCGTCTCCTTTTCAACATGCCTTTTTTTAGAAATAAAATAGGATTATTCATCATGTTCTGTTGAAATATTAACTATTCTCATGATAAGTATTAAACTTCAAATCGAAACAAGTATAAAAGGTGCCTTTCCCATGTAGAAAGACATTTCACCACTAGAGGGGACTAGCAGACTTTATTGCCAGTGGGGTTAAAAAACAGCTGCATGTCAAACTGTCGGTGCTAGTTCCAGTTCAGAAAAGTCTTCGTGATTTCGTGGAAAACACTGCAAGTGATATATTATGTTAATTAATATATGGTGTAGAATATAGGATACCACTGAAGCTTTAATTTGACATTTATTCAGTAAGTATAGAATATATGGTACAGTATTTATAATCAAATGATTAAGAAGCTTGCTCCTCTTGCAAAAATGTAGAATTACATTGAATTATGTAAAACTAGACTTTGTTAAATTAAGAAGCTACTGTAAAACATAGAAATACTCATGTAATTTCCTAGCAGGAGAAATCTCTGTTCAACACAGAGCACTGTCCTTTGCTCATTATTGTAGCAACCATATTCAACCAGCATTATATTTATGGACATGATGAAGCTGTTTCTTCTGTCTGCTTTCATCCAGATGGGGAACATGCAGGGTAATTATCTTTCTTTTGGGGGGGGTAGAGATTTTGTTTGTTTATCTTGCTTTATCCTTTACAGTCTGTGGGTTTCATTTTGTTAAATTGCTACATGTTGCTTCCTGTAAATGCTAGAAAAAGCCAAGTGAAAGAACTGAGTGTAGTACTTTAAGTAGGCTGCGAATTGGTTTTGCTCAATCCACATTTCTGAGGCAGTTAATTGCACTGCCTTAACCCTGATCCTGAAAAAGTGTTTGCCTCCTGCAAAGCAGGCAATTAAAAGAAAAATATTTCAGTATTGCTTGGAATTCTTCAAGAAGTCACTGCCTCGAAATGATGCAGGGCTACATGTTGTAGCTCCATTTCAACAAAGGATCTAATAATTAATTGACAATGCTATATTAAGACATCTCAGAAAAATGGGTAAGAGTTCTCAAAGTGGGGTTTTTTTGACCCTCACCAGCATGACACACCATTGATGCGTGGTCTGGCCGTGATTTCTTCTTCCTCTGAAGCATCATGCACGAACCATAGTAGAATAGCATGCATTACGTGCTGTCACACTCATGTATATGGATTCCTGAAACTGAGTTTCCTGAGGGCCGAAGCAAATTGCAGTAGAGGCAAAGCACTGCAACACTGGTGCCTAGCCCCAACCCACCTTCCCTCCTCTGTTGTGTATTGCAGGTAGCATTGATGAGAGCAGAATCTTAGCAGGAATGTCTCTGTTATCTGACACATCTCCTCTCCTGCAGCATCTGAGGGTTTTGGGTCATGTGAAAGGACTTCATGTGGAACATCACCTTACAGCAAGGGGAAATCCTTCCTTTCAGCACCCACATTTGTGGCATCACATGATGTAATCCAATGGTTCTATTGTTTCCCTGTCAAGTGTGGATTTTCCCCATGATGTTCTTACTCACACTATATTGCTGGAACAAATCCAGTTTCCTGTGCTCCAACTTTTGTTGAGCAGTGGGTAGGACTGGTTGGTTGATAAGTTTTTCCAGTCTTATTTGCTTACATGCTTTGCTGTTCAGCATGGGCAGTCTCTTCCACTTTTCTTCCCACCACCTGCAGAGTCCTGATGCCAGAATTTCTTCCCTTAGCCTCACACCCACCCTCAGAAAGACTGATAAGGGTTTGGCAGCTTCTCCTCTGGGAGCTGCGTGAGCCTCATGTAATAAGAACACAAAGTGCATTCAGAGTTATTTCCTGAAAATCATAAATCATTCTCCTACTGTCTGTGCTTGCTTGCTAAGGAAAATAAAATGCCCTGAGATCAACCTACTACTGTTCAACATTGAACCAAGAAAAACCAGCCTCAGCAGGTTGCCAGGATTTGCTGGAATTAGACATTTTTATAAAAAACTACATACATTTCTTTTTTCATGTGCTGTACAGAATGCTGACAGTTTAGAGAAGGCAGTAATTTAACCTTCCTTGTTTTGGCTGAGTTTTTTCCCCAATGAGGTTTTCTCCCAATTAAGAGCAATTCACTAGTAAAATGTTTATGCCTTTCCTGTATTTATTATCTGTTAAATAATGAATGTTAAATTTTAAATGCTGCACCTGGGAAAATATGTAAATACTGTATGATATGAAGTTCTGTTTAATCAGGAGTGTGCAAAATGTATTTGATCCTATAAAATGTGGTGTTTACCACATCAAACAGCTGAATACAGATTTCAGGTGTACCCAGTGACTAAATTTCTACAAGTTTGGTGGAGACTGAAGACAATCAAAGCTTCAAAGGTCAGAGATGAATCAACTCAGGTGCCAAGGTAGATGAGTTAAACACACAGATCATATGTTTGTCTGGGATGACAAACATATGCCCATATTTGTGGCATTGAACTGAAACAGTGATGTGGGCCTCTGTGTAGAAGAGAACATCTCCTCTAGCACTGACAGGAGTGTTATGTACACCTATTTGTACTCACCTTTATTGAATTATATTGAGCTATTTCAAGACATGTAAAAAGACCCATAAAAGTAATGTAAGATACTGAAACTTACTGAGATTTATGAAAAAGAACAAGGAAAATGTAGGTCCAAGGTACTTGTTTGTTATGAGTGAATCATGCTGTGCATGTGTTGATGCATAGAAACTGCCCTAATACCCAGCGAAGTAATGGTGAACAACTTCATCCGTCAAAAAGAAAAATAAAGGTGTGATATTTTTGTTACACCAGAAGGTTTGGATTGTTTGCTAGAGTTGTTTTCAAGTGGTAATAAAGTGCAAAGTTAAACTGTGATATTATAACCATGGTAATAAGTATCAGCATAAATTTGGTTGAAGCAATTTGTGCAGCTGATATGAAATGTGTTTTAATTCATTAATTGCTCTGCTTCAGAAATAATTAGAAATACAAAAACAAGACAATACCAGTAGTAAAAGGCACATATAAGGGCAATCTTAACGCCCAGAGAATTTTGGATGTTGTATCACTTTTGGGAGGATACAGTAATCTAAAACTCTCAGTCAGACCTGACAGTCAGTAACTTTGGAAGGGCTGATCCATTCAATTCAGCAGGATGACAGTGCATAAGTATTTTTATGGAGAAATATAAAGTACACTCAATTCACTGGATGGCTGAATTAACTGAAATTAGAAATTATGCAAAAGAAAAGAAGAGCAGTTCATCACTGAAACTACCAATAACACGCAGTAAATTCTCTGAATTTTCAAGTCTGGATAACTTTCTAAAAGATACACATGCACAAAATGCAAGCTGTTTTGATGTGTGTGTGGATAAACAGTAGTAATGTTACAGTTATGAACTATATACTTGATAAGATGCAATGTTCTGCTATTAATTTTAAAATGCCTTTGTCTTCTTTTAAAAGAAAATCAGGTTAGAAAAATTTTAACCCTGAAAATTATTTGTGTCACATTATTGTTACTATAGCAGAGCATATTGTGGTTTTAATTTCTATATTATTGTTTTAACAGAAGTAGCCTGGTTGATAATGTTGCAAAGGAAGAAAACCAAGTCAAAACCAAACTTGAGAGTCTAACAAAATTGAGAGCCTTCATGAGTCAGCATATTGTTTAAAATAACTTTATATTAAGTGAAATAACATACTAAGGGAAATGTAAATATACATGAATATATCAATGTTCTAACACAATAACAGTATTGCATTATAAACTTTGCTTTTCTCAGCTAACAATTTATAGGCAGTTTAACATTTTCCACAATAAATGCTCAGTTTGCTTAAATCTTCATTTTATATTCAGGAGTAAAGATAAATCTAAATTATTCAAAGCAACACTTGAAATAAAAAGCTACTTCCATAGAACAGATAAATGTTACAGGTTACATTCAGTCAGAGCTGTACTCTCTGAATAAGAGAGTAAGAGCTGTACTCTTACTCTTTGTAAGCACAGAGAAAGTACTGTAAATTCCCCAGATGTCAAGTACATCATGAAAAGAAGGCAAAGAAAAGCCTATTGTTCATTTCCATTTTAACAAGCACTTTTAACAGGTCGTCATTTCTGTTAAGACTCATCTTACTGAACATTAAGCACTTAGATGTCAGATGTCTAGTATTAGTTAAAATCCAGTAAGTTAAAACACAGTAAGTTCCTCTGTAATCAATCATCAATAATTAATGCATTCTTATTTCTAGACAGTGAGCTGTTCCTTTTTAAAGGCAGACCATATGTAAACTCCACTTTGCTATCATGTATTAGACCTGTTGAAGTCAGATTATTTGAAGCCCAGTTTTGAGCATACTTGTTCCTAGCCATTTTATAGTGGGACAGCCTATGTCCTCCTTGTCCCTCAAGTTAGGACATCCTGGCAGATCCATCATCTGTATGAAGTTCCTACACAGCAAAATACAGGCCATCAGAGCTTTCAGAGTTCCTTAGTAAGTTGCAGTAATAAGGGATGTGGATAAAAGATGTAGAATTTTGGTATCTCAAGAATGCAAATATACACAGATACTAATTTCTCTGTAGGAGAAAATGTAGATCTCAATCTTCAGAGAGCATAACAAATACAAAGGAAGTCCTTAAATCTTATTTGGTTGACTTCAAATGACTTTTGAGATAAAACTGGTGCATATTTTGAAAGCACCTGGAAATGTTAATAATTTGCTTCCTGAAGAGCCTCTGGCTATAGTCAAAAATATAAAAGCAAAGATATTGCAAAGCATTACAAATTGAGTGCAACTTAGCTCAGGTCACAGAATGAAAGGGAGAAATAAATCACTGAGCCCTGGATCAGCTACCAGACTACTTAATAGGTTTAGTATTTAAAAAAAAAAAAAAAAAAAAAAAAAAAGAGAAAACGCCTCAACCCTCTTTTGGGAAAAGGTTACCCACATTGTAGATTTGTTAGGTTTGTTTTACATGCTACTTTGTAACACCGCTACTCCAAGACACTTCCTTAGTTCTGCTGCCCTCTTTTCCAGCTGCTGAATGTTCCAGTGCCATTGTCTTTTATTTGAATGGAGTTTGTTCAGCTGGGAATGCAGACGTTTTAGAATAGCATCGTATCTTTTATTCTGTACCTAATAAAATGGAATAAAGTTCACTTCAAAATTTACTCAAGTGAAACTACTTACAGAGGTGAGTCCAGCTCACCTAAGTGTAGGTTCTGACATTTGACCAAGTCATTCCATGTTCACTTTGCAGCTACTGAGGAGATACAGACATTTAGGAACCCATTCATCTGAGTTATTGCAGATACCTACTTTAAGACAATATTAATCATGCACCTCCCACTAAGGGAAGAAAAGCTATGTCCTGCTAAGAGCTTAAGTGGGGAGTTCAATGTGGGTATCTGCTCTGCAGATGTCCAAAATTTAACAAAGTAAATCCCACCCAAAGAGTCAGCACCTCACAGCTGTGGCAAAATTTCTACATGGAAAATTTCAGGCTAAGGGGTTAGAGGTGAGAAAGGAAGAAATTTTCATTATTTGACAAGTGTGTTTGGGTATAAGTCAGAATACAAGTGAGGTAAGGCTGTAGTTAACACCTTCACTGTTGCACTGCATTTAGAAAGCTAGTTTTTCTTAGAAAGGCAATACTGTGGCAATGAAGCACTGTATCAATTTTGCCTTCACTGCTGCCTTATGTGGTATAATGGCTGCAGGCGACCCTCTGATGATTTGCATTCTGAAATCTAAAAGCGCGAAACACTCATCATAATAAAATGGAAATAATGGGCATTCACTCAGTGAAACTTTGGGCTTACTTACCCTAGCTGGAATGGCATATGAGCAGCAGTGTATAATTATTCTTATGTCTGCTTATTGTAACATTGTTAAACTGTATTTAACATACACATGATGGCCTCTAGCTGCATCAGAACTACAACACTGCCAGTGACTTTTGCAACGCTCTGATTCATGTTTTATAAACTACACTGGTGATGGGTTGTCTTCCTTCATGTTGCCTGGCTCTCCACTATAATCCTCCACAACTTTTTCAGAGAATCTGTCAGATGCACTCATCTGAATGAGCGCTTTCAGGATGTGAACATCACTAGGGGTTGTAAGACACTGAAACTTTATGATCAATATTATCTACTTTTTTTAGAAATGTGTTTCTAGCATCATTATTGGGAACTGTCTGCAACATCTGCTGAGGCAGGGAGTACTAATATGCTTACCAGACATAGAATCATAGAATCACAGAATCACAGAATGGTAGAATGGTTTGGGCTGGAAGAGACCTTAAAGATCATCTAGTTCCAGCTCCCCTGCCATAGACAGGGAAACCTTCCACCAGACCAGGTTTCCCAAAGGCCGTCCAACCTGGGCTTAAAGACTGCCAGGGATGTGGCAGCCACAGCTTCTCTGGGCAACCTGTGCCAGTGTCTCACCATAAGCAATTCTTGGTATCTGTCTGACTCATGTGTAGTCATCTCTTATCAACCAACCAAATTTAGGTGTCAGAAGTCTGCAGCTGAATCACACCACTGCAGCTCAATGGAACCTCATCCATGTGTCTAGTATCTCACTCTATTTCTGTGCTTATCTGTCTTGAGTATTCTTTCGTCAGTCGTGCTGATGACTGCTGGGTATTAATGTCTCTGACTGTTGACTGTCAGTTTTTATATTAAAAATCAGACTGCTTTCCAGAAAGTACTTAAAAGAAAATAATACCATGAAAGATTCAATTTGTAAACCTGCTTCTTTTCGAGACAAAAAGATTGTATAATCCAAACAACTGAAGAACAGGTTAACCTTCACTGTTTAATTAAACTTGATAACAGAACATTATTTTTAGGCTGTCTAATTTCACTTTTGGTGTAGAGAACTTTCTTAAGGGGAGATTGCCTTGATAATAAAATATGTTCTCATATGCTGGATAGCACAGACCTAAAGTGGCTGTGCTTTGCTTTAACTTTTAAAAATTCTCTGCTGTTCCCTATCACATGAAAAACAGTTCCTTTTACCTCCTACATTTTACAATGGGCAATAGAACTAACCTGACATCAGTTAATCTCTGTATTTTCAAGCTTCACTCATTAAATTTTGTGGCATTTATTTGAACTCACAAGATGAATGATGTGAAACTTCCAAACTGAAAACTATCTAGACATACAAAGTATTTCAGTGAGGAACAAAATATAAAATATGGTTCAATTATTTAAAAAGAGAAGGTTTTAACTATTTATCAGAATTTTATCTTGGCAGCTAATTAGACGGTGCTGCGTTATCCCTCATTTAATCTCAGCTCAAATTAGGTTGATTCATGGGAAGTCTATTTTCTTGGTGCAATTGATTCTCTCATTGATGAGTTATCAGGAACCATGAGACAAGTCATGAATTATCAAGCCAGCAGTGGAATTTAAAGTATTTCAAAAGTATTACAGAAATAAAAACCTGTGCATTTTGATTTGCCATCATTCAGTGACCTCTTTCTTCTCAAGATATCATTTCAGAAGTTCACAGCTGAATTCCTTCTTTAAGACTCAAGAAAAAAGGTTCTTAACATAAGTTTTTCTCATGGTAGCAATCGAGTTCTGAATTTTAGAAAGACTATCAGTATAAAGAATTTAAGACAGCACGGTTAGTGTACGTACTTGAATAATGCATGGCCAGCAACAGTGCATAAATACTTCAAAATTCATTTGCTCTACCTAAATTCTGTCAGATGAACAGAATGTAATTATATTTTATTCAAATGACTCACCTCAATTTCTTTTCTAAGCTTAGCATGCATTTTTCTCTCTTTGTCAAGCAAATCTATTTTATTACTGATGCACTCTTTCAATGTCATGATTTCCCTTTGTAAAAGCGTAATTTCTTCCTGCAGATGTAAGTCAAGAAACAGAAATCCCTTAAAAAGTTGCAGTGCATCTATTAAACTAATGTAAAATGTCACATTTTAACAGTCTTGCTTCATTAATATGGATGAGATAAAGATATATAATAAACAGCTTCACATTAACATAATTAATAATAATTAAATTAATTAATTACAAATTGAAATTGAAAATAATAATTAAAACAATTCATAACATGGCTTACAAAGGTACACATAATTAGGAAGATGCATCCTTGATCTGAAATTTGCAAGCAACTACAGCAATACAGGAATTTGAACTCATTTTGATTGTCTTAATTTTGTTTAAAATGTAATTTATTGGAAAATCAAAGAATATTTAATGTAATCATGTAATATTTGAGATAGATTTTTCTTTCTCAAGGGGAAGTACAACGTTAATGAATCTCTATTTAACCATTATTTAAAGATTTGTTTGTACAACCAGATTTTCATCAATTTATATGAGAAGAGTAACACCCAATCTTCTCTAATGCAAGTTGTGTCAGACTTTTAATCTGTGACCCCATTCCAACTTCACAATTGGTTTTGTTCATGTAATGGTAAAGTTTTATGTTGAAAGATTCTTACATGGTAGTTTTTAATAAGCATTGCAATTAGGGTCAAGTAAAAACAACAGTGTAGGTCTACAATACCAAAACAAATATCTTTTCCTTCTCTCCTTCCTTCTGTTTCCATCTCATCAAATCTACCTCCTGCTGGCAAACAGCTCAACTTTAGTTTGTTACCTGAAAGCAACTGTAAAATACTGTGCTCTTGCAGGAAAAATGGAACAACATGGCAATGTTCCACAGAATTCTAAAGAGTATCCATTTAAGTTTATCCAACAACCCCAAAAAGACCACAAATAGTTTGGCAATCATATAGTTTAATCATATAGCTTATAGTTTACAGCTCTGTAATTGTTTTCATAGCTGAGTTCATTTGATCACAGAATGAACCTGACTTTCACAACAATATACAGGTAACAATAGCTTATGATTTTTTTTACTGCATACATCAAACATTCTTTAAATATTATAAGCATTATAAACTATCTATAGTCTCCATAGTCAGTGCCTCATGAAGCATAAATATATTAGACAAAATAATATTAGCTAAACTATGCCAAAATTATTTCATGATAAAGGAAAAGGATCAAAAAGGAAATGTAGTACCTGCACTTGTTTTATAACAGATCCTTCTGGATTCTGGAGATCATGCATTAACTCCTCTTTCTTTGTCTTTAATTCTAGAACAACAGCTTTCTTTTTAGCAAGCTCAATCATCACTGGCATTTTACTTTCCATCTCCCAAAAGAGATGTTTATGAGCCTTTATTTTTTCCCGATATTCATTATTTCTTGCAAATGTCATCTCAAACTCATCTTGTACTGTTTCTGCATCAAGCCTCAGCTTTAAATTTTCAGAATACAGGGCTTTAACTTCAGCTTCCACATTTTCACAGTGGTGTTTTATCATTTCTATGGCATCATCTCGCAGATATATTTCTCTTTCTGTTGTCCTTGTTTCTAACAGAATAGAATCCATTTCTTTTTCTAGTTCCTGGAACTTTGCCTGTAAAAGATTTCTGTTTCTTTTTTTAGTTAAACATTATAATTTATATTTATTCAAAACAGTCTTCATTTCCACTTGTTTAACATGGCTTGAATGGAAGACAGAATTCCATCTCCTAAAATTGTCACTTTAGAGGCACAATGCAAGAATATTGTCTTAGATTTCTCCCCTTAGATTGGGTTTAAATATGAAATAAAGTATCCTAGAAATTAATCTGAATTCCTTGTATTTGTAAAATACATAGGACATGACAGATCAAACTCAGTCCTAATGTTTGTTTAGAACTGAAATCTGATTAAGTTCTAATCAGACCAAAAGTAACTAACCATGTCAAAAATCGCCAACAAACCCAAACAAGCACACAGCTGGGTGTTAGGGGTGATGGAGCTTCCTAGCCTGTTCTGCTGAAGTTTTTAATCCCACATTTGTCACAGTAGTACTTTATTGTTGGATTAATCACAGCTAGTTTTATCCATCCTCCCCTTCTCCCTCCCCCCAAGAAATACGCATCTAGTCCTAAAAATGCTTCTGTATCTTCTCACTGATGAGAACTGAACGACTCCAGGAAGCAGTACTTCAACCTATCATAAGAAATCATAGACTCATAAAATGATTTAGGCTGAAAAAGACCTTTAAGATCATCAAGTCCAACTGTTAACCTAACACTGCCAAGTCCACCACTAAACCATGTCTCTTAAGTGCTACATTTACATGTACGTCTAAGATGGGAGGCTTCAACCGCTCCCTCAGAAAAGTTTTTTCCCCTCTTTGATGAGTACCAAGGGAGCATAGATGACTAACACAGGCTTAGTATCTGACCTGTAGGTGATGTAAGATAGCTAGAATGAATCCCACCCAACATGAGAGCCAACAGTAGTGCATTAAGTGAGAGAATTATCATCGTGATTTATGTCACCTATTATCTCCTCCCTAATGGAACCATTATGACTGCTGTGAAATCTCTTACTCAATGTCTTGAACAGATTAAGACATTATTAACTACTGAGAACAAAAAGTTTCTGTGTAACTTTTAATTTTGAAATCTTTGGCTATAATTTTAGCAGTATTTCAATCACTGCCAGCCACTATTTACTGTGGACAGGAAAGAGAAAGATGTTAATGGCAAAGATCTTCAGTTTTGGAAAGGAAATTACTGTTTTACATGTTTTCCATGGCATGCACAACAAAATAGGTATAAAGATGAAAAAAAACAGTTCGGCATTTCGATTTTAAGTTCTAAATTAGTTAACTTTGCTGTTTGTATGGAATTTCCTAGGGTTTGGGCTTTTTTGAAAGAAGTGTGTGGAAGACAAAACACATAAATGAGCTAAATTACCTGGGCTCTAAAGTCCTGTAGGTTTTTTCTGAGAATAGATACCCTTGTTTAATTGTTTGATAACAACTAAACTGTTGCAATATCATCATACTGTATTAGAGGATGGTATATACTTAGAAGAAAGCTTCTTGCAAAGTGTGACCAGTCAATTGACCTATCCTAAGCAGTTTTCATTGCTCCTTCAGAGAAGCTGTATCTTCATGCAAAATTTCAAAGATCAAGTGTTTCAGTTGGAAGGCTATTTAGAGGTGTTATAATTGGGACTATACTCTTTCCATCTGCATTCTCTCATGCTAAAAAATGCCTGAATACTATTGGGTCTTCCTTCAGACTTAAAGGTAAGTTTCTCAAGGAAAATTTGATCTCAAAGGTTAAATAATAATTGAAAGCTTAATAAATTCTGTGAGAGATTATAATAGAAATGATTAGTCTCCACAAAACCTACACGTATCCACTGATCTATAAAATACTACTAAATAAAACCAGTATTTAATGACTATCTAAGATGCCTACTTCAAATGCACAGAAAAAAAAAAGAATTTTGTATTAAAAGTATGCTACGAAAAAATGGCAAAGTCTGGTAAAAATATACCAAAAAAAACCCCACAACCCACCTGTTTTTACTATCTCCCCCACACACACCCCTTAATTTCTTAGGAAATCACAATAAAAAAAATCCAAAAAAGCCCTAGCTTTGTACTGAGTTTCTCTGGGTTTGCTTTGTAGTTTGCTTAGTGTTTTTGGGGGTGTTGCTTCATTTTGGTTTTATTTTTTTTCAAATGTAAAATAAAGCTTCTGTTAAAAGCTGTAATAATGAAATCTTGTGTTGAAACTTTGCTACTAACATCAGACATACAGAGTTTTGGCTAAGCCTAAATGCCGCACACAGGAACAGAATAGCTGCCTTACATTTAAATGTAAACACCGAGGAAAAAAAAACCAAAATACCATCAGATTCTTTTTTTATATGAATACTTCCTCATCTAATGAAAAAAATGAAATTAATTAGGCTACTCTAAGCAAGGTTTATTACCTGTAATTGGAAAAGAACTGTTTTGGCTTTTTCTATCTCTGTCACCTGGGAATGCTGCTGCTCTGCAACTTGTTTTACAACTTGAATTAGTGAAGGAGAATTTTGCTCGGCCATTTTAGGCAAACGTGCAGGACATGAAAAAAGTGAATTATCTTCATTTATTTAATTCCTGTTAATAAAAGAGAATAAAATGAAGGGCTTTCCTATGGGATACCAGATCAATATGTTACTTCATGTGGTTCATTTTTTATTAACAAGAACAGGTTACTAGTGGGCAGCTGCTCGAAGGCAGTGGTTGAGAATTAGAACTTTCTTGCAGAATTTTATAAAAATAACAATTGCAATGTTATTCTGGCATGTCTTCAGGACAGATCCTCAGTTTGTGAGTACAGCCATAGCTTTTTTAAGCATCTTAAAAGCATGAGAGCATGCTCTCACATTTAGCCCGAATATTTAAACCATTGCGGCTACCATATTGCAACCGCCTGAACTATCCTTATGATAAACAACAAATCGAGAAAGCTCTCACATGGGAAGTCACAAACTAGTATCACTGTAGAGACTCTCCCCAGCGATAAGAAAATATTTTGCATTATTTTTGTATCTCTTTGAATAGAATAATTAAGAATTTCTTTACTAATATAAAAATAAAATCTGTAATATTATACAAAGTGACAGCCAACCCTCAAGAGAATGCACTGAGTCGGCACAAGTACATCTTCAGGGCCAATGTATTAAACGGTGCTCAGATGACCCACAAACTCTACCTGAAGGCTGATAGTCCCGACTAAAAGGCGGACACTGCAGCACCAGGCGCCCCGGCGCGACAAGGCCACCCCGCTGCCCAGCCTGGCGAGGAGGGCGATGAAGGCAAACACCGCCCACCTCCCCCTCACAGCCACAACCGCCCCGCCTCAGAGCCCTCCCGCCGCCGGCCAGGGAGCGTCGGCCAAGGGCCTACCCCGCTGCGGGGCGTTGAGGGCTTAGGGAGCGTCGGAGAACAGCAGCGACTCCCGAGGCGGCGTGAGGGGAGCTCGGCCGCTAGCGGCTGCCAATGGGCGCTGAGAGGCGGGAGAGGGGCGGGAGGAAGGGGTCGTGCGTGGTAGGAGACGGGAAAAGAACGCGGGGAAGAGCTCATCCTGTCAGGAACGGGTGGGTAGGCCGCAGCGAGGTCTGTAGCGGCAGAGCAGCGTGGCTCTGCCTGTGGCTGAGGCAGTTTTGCTCAGCGTCATTTAGCTTCCACGTTCCCGAAGATACATAATTCATTGTATTAACTGAATTTTCCATCATAATTTCCTAGTATTTTATATACTCTCTGCATACAATCTGTTTATTTCATCCCTGTTTTGAAATGGCAGGAGCTGAGTATAATATTTCAGCTGGAGACGTTTCAATACTGTTCTGTATGATAGATATTTTCTGACCTTATCCTTTCTCAGCATTCTGCACCAAAAATAACCCTAATAATTATTTTTCCTTCCTTAGCCTGGTTGAAGAGAAGAAAATGATTGTGTTGGTCTCTCTTCATCAAGTCCCCCTGTTAATTTTTAAAGATCTACTTCAGACGTGTTAGTGGCATGGAAAGCCTCAGAAAGAACTGATTTCTGCAAATTTCATCAAAACACGTGCCTGTGTGGGGAAGGACAGGACGCTGACATCTCTTCCCTTTGGGAGGAGCAGTCAGGAGGATTTAGCTCTCATCCCTCTGCCCAAGTGATTGAGTGGAAGGGAAAGCAGGAGGAGAAATGGGGGGGAGGAGTGCCAAGGTGAGTTCTGGACCTGGCAGAAATGTAGGTTTGCTGCAGGAAGAGGAGACAGAGAACAGCAATTCACAGGAAATCACATCTGATGAATTATCCTCTGTTAATGGGAAAAAAAAACAAAAAAACAAAAAACTTTTATTTTCTTGTCCCTTTCTTCAGTCTTCATACACTTATCTGTCATGACTATGATTTTGTGACAGCTGAGAAGATGTATTTATCATCATTGGATTCTTGGACAAAGCCTCATATAAATCCCTCAAACCACCCCCCCCCCGCAATCCCCCCCTTGCCTTTTGACCATTGGCCTGTCAAAACATTCAGACTTTTTTTACAAAGGCCTACAGAATTTGTGGCTGCTCCCAGGGGGAATTGGAATCCCTGTTTAGGGCCTGTGGCCCTGAACACTGGCCTCGTAACCTCTTTATCAGGGTTCTTCCTTCTGAATATGCTTTCTTTTGACTGCCTGCCAAATTCTGCACTGGAGCATGCGGTTACAGCTCAGAAGAGGAAACTCTTTCAGTCTGCAGAAGTATAACTTCTTTGTGTTCTCACTCTGTTTTGCTGTGCTGTGTGTTTCTGAATCTGTTCGAGATTGTGCAAAGCTGATGCATTGGAATGTATGATGACAGCAGTGAGTTACATGGCAGGGTTAATGATGCTTCCGGGTTTAATACTTCCCAGGCACTTAATCATAATGGTGCCTTTCAGTACAGTCTGTTATTTCCTGTTGATACTGACAGCAGCAAAGGAGGGTCTTGTCATGAAGCAGAAATACAGGTTCCCACTACAATCTTACCTAGAATAGGAATTTCCATCTTGTACAAATCAAGACTGACAGTGAGAAGTGAGATATATAAAGCTGGTGGTGTGTGCTTGTATCAGATGAGATCTTTCGAGAGTTTAAGAGGATTGTGCTCCTGTGTAAGTAAATTCCTGTGTTGTAAACTTTGAGTTTGTTTATGAAAACTGCATGTACTTCAGTATTTTCATTGTAAGTACCCAGTCTTGTTTCTTCAAACTTGCCTAAATACATCTAAATTAAGAGGAGCAGAACGTTTAATTTTAATCCTGTTTAAGACATTTTTAGGTATTTCTTTTTCCTCCCAATTTTTTGTCTTTGCTGAAATTTTGTTACAAATGTGCTCTTATCCCTGCACATTTGGTCTGCTTTAATGATCTCTTTATTTTCTCTGGGCATCTCTCTCTGGCAGATGTGAATTATTTCTTGTTCTTCTGAGTATCTGTAAGGTAAAAATAGGATTCAGAGGTGCAGGAAATTGCCAGCAGTCTTGTGACCAGTGGGAAGGTTTTAAAATTAGATTTCCAGGGTATTTGAAAGTCACTTTTTGGATCTTTTTTCTGTCCTGGGCTGTCTCTTCTCTGCAGCCTGGTTTTATTTCTTTCATTGTTTCTTTTCTATATTCACTTTGCTCTTCTCCTTCTCACTACTGTTGCCTTCCTCTCTTCTCATTAACTGTTGTTTTCTTTTTCTTGATGTCTGTGCAAGAGAATCTTTTTACCCTTCAAATATTTGTACTGACAGTTTCAGAGAGTGAGTGAAACAGCTAATGGGTGGTCTTGGCTTGAAGTTTGTGCAAGTATTCGTTTTGCATTGCATTCTGAAATGAGCAAATGCACATAATAATTTCTGATGCAGGTACGTGCCATGAGACTTCCCATGGAACACTGGGACTGTAGAGCATGTTACTTTAAACCTGAATAATTGTGAATGCATTTCTCATAAGCTTAAACACTGCTGTGCTTGGCAAGCCTCTGCTTTGAGGAGGGGTTTGTTGGGGAACTTAGAAAGCAGTCAAACAGTTTTATTATGAGTGTAAGCAGTTTTACTTCTGACACCATTGACCTCACTAGAACTCTTGTGATGCAAAACTGAAAGGTGAATCAGTCCCATTGTTTCTTGGTGTACATCACAATAATTGCCCCGGTGGACTTTTTGCAATACACACAGAGAGCTTAATAACAGAAGCAATTGCCTCTCCCTCTGCAAACACTTTCCTTCCACCCTTTCTTTGGTGGTACTTTTCTGGGCAAGTATGAGGACAGCAATGAAATATACTTCCCTTCTACTACTGACATATCTGAAGTGGAGGAATAATCTGTTTGTCCACTACAGCCCTCTGTTGTGCTGTCTTTGCTGGGGCTAGTAGCTATGCCTAGATAGGGATCATGTCGTACTCATACAGGTCTCCCACAGAGAGTGTCAGGGTAGGGACGGAAATACCCTGATTTCCCAAGTCACGGTCTTTGACGTGAGTCTGTTTCGACAATGTTTTCTTAGCAAGCTCTTGTCTCTAAAATCTGTTACCAATCAGCTGTGTGTAAATTGTACTCTGAGCAAAATGAAGAAACATACAGCCCTTGGCAGATGCTTTTATCTGCTGTCACATTTTGATACTTTCAGTTCACCTGTTTTGATAGTCACTAATTTATCTTTGTAAGTGTTCAACTCGCAGAAAGCAAAACATCATTTTCATTCAGGAATATTTTTCTTCCAGTCTGGGGGAAAGAATAATTAAGAAAATAGAGAATGTTTTCTATAACGCCTACTCTGAATAAACAATCCATTAAAACCAGAAAGGTCTTTGATCTCTCATTTGAGTGTAGAAACTGGGAATCCATTGTCAAGCCATAAAATGCCAAGAAGGACAGCAAGTCCACCATAGCAGTAGGCCTCAAGTACACACAGAAGCAGTACTTTTGCAGGATAATGCAGTGTTGGGAGGCCAGAGCATGTATGTAGTTACAGGCAAATGAGGACTTGGTACAGGAACATAATGCAGGCATTCTCTGGTATGGTTGTCTCTGGTAGCAGAGCATGATTTCAAAGGCTTAAAAGATTCTTGAGCCCTTTGTTGTTGCAAAGATATTAATCTTCCTGCAAAGGAATCAGTATTCATGCACAATTTGCTACTGTACAAAAAAATTGTGGTGTTAAAGAATACTCTTAAATGTTTATGGGGTCTTACAACTGGTAATAAAACTGCGTGTATTCCTTCTAGATCAAGCACTGTGCTTAGTCATGAAATACGAGTTTTCTGTTCAAGCTTCCCAAAGCAGAGAGATCTAGTCTTTTGTTCTAGAACCCTGGAGGCTTGCACTGGAAACTGAAAAATTATTAGAGAAAATAATGTAAAACACTTCTGAAAGGATATGTAAAATAGGCTGTCATAGTGACAGAGAGAGGAAGGGACAGATGAGTTTCCACAGGCAGGCCTAGCTGGGCTTGAATCAACAAAGTTCTGAAAAGGGAAAAAATTCCATCAAAACTGGAATTACACTATGGGCCACAAGAAAAGCCCTGACCTATGGAATTATTTTGGATAAGCTTAGCATGTGCTGATTTTGGAATAGAGAGTGCAGCTAACGTAATGAAAATGCTGAGGCAGGAAGTTGTGCACATTATATTATTTTCATTATATATGCATATTATGCATATAACATGCATATTATATATGCATATTATATATATTGTATATAATATTCAATGTATGCATGTTATATTATTTTCATGTAGTTATGAATACTTCTTGCATTAATGAGTAAAGTTTCAGTAACCTGTGCTGACTTCATGTTGTTTGCATGTTGAAAAGAACTATACCAATCATATGCCCCACCACACAGAAGTCAGAAATTAGCAAGTCAAAGCTTTTTATATCAGAAAAGGGGGAAGTGAAAAGAGTCTTGTCAAGCCCTTTGGGAAAGACAACCTTGCACTCACAGCCCACAACCCCTGTTACCAGGAGGGGTAGCAGACATAGGCTCCACCTCAGCCATAAGTGTAAAATGCCTCCAAAAAAATTGTTGCAGAAGCTTCTCTAGTCCCAGCAAGATGAGGGACCTCTGTATATGGTTCCTCTCATGGGAACTTGAGGAGGGCCAACAGTCAGAGGTCAAGAAGACCCATTAGGCTAATGTGGCTAATTGGGACCCATGTGGCTAATTGTTTCAATAAATCTAATATTATGTACCATCCCAGACCTGGAAAAAGCCTGAGGTAGGAAGGGTGAAGGGAAATATCTAAATATCTTAATACATACATAGTAATTCCCATTTCCACTACTTTTCTTTTGCTACAGTTTCTTTTGATGCAGTGAGGAAATCCCAAGACTGTAATTACTGCTGTACTATCTTCTCTATACAGCATCACTGAATGATTTGCCTTAATAACATAATTCTGGGTTGGACTAATGATGATGTCTTGCCTTTTTCTTTGTTTTTCATGTTTTGTTACTGACTACTTGACAGTTGTGAGAATCTTTAAGTATTCTGCAGTATGGTGGAAGCAGTACTGGTAGATCTGTTCAGCCTACCAGCCAACTTGCAGAACATCCAAGAACTGCTATGTAACACACTGGAAACTATTGAGAAATGTTCTTCCATCCCTGCTCCATTTGTTTATGTCATGTGTTGCCAGAGGCAAGGAAGTGAAAGGAATGGTGAAAAAGAGTCCTTGCTTCCAGCTCTGAGTGGTTTTCAGAGTCTGAAGAAAAGACTGGAGATGGTACATGCCCCGAATACAGCTGCGGCTTTGTACACCATCAAACAAAGCCTGGATGAAAAAGACCTAAGCATTATTAAAGTTATTCTACCTACCTTAAGAAAAGACTTAATGAAAGTATATATAGATCATCTTTTTACAGCAGTCTACCAGTTTGAATTTGAGGATTTACAGATGGCATATGATTGTGAAAACCTGAAGATAGCTAAAACTCAGAGTGAAAGGCAAACACTTCCTATACAGGACATGGCACTCATCCAAAGCGAGATTCAGATGTACTTGGAAAGCCTGCCGAGCCTCAAAGGGGAGCTCACCATCCTCAGATCTTCTCTCATCCCAGGTAAAGAGGATCCCAGGTAACATATTTTAGAGAGACTAGTTTCCAAGCATCCTTCCTCAAGGGAATTGCAAAATGGGTAAGATTTGGAAATGTCTTCAGGCAGCAGATAACCCTAGGTGATGTTGTAATAGTGTATGTTGCCTGTAAGAGGGGGAAGTGTGAATAGAGATACAGCAAGACTGGCAAGGCCTGGGGCATGATCAGAGGAAAGAGAGGTCCAGGTTTAGTGAGAGCATTACTACAGACAGTAAAATCTCCTTCCTTCTGTGTGAGAATTAGACACTTCAGAGAGCTGCCATTATCTTCTGGAAAGGCTGGACAGGAGTTTCTCCTGGTCTGCAGCCTCAAGCATGCTTTGTTAATCAGACTGGTGTCTCAGTGTCCCTGCCATGGTATGACTTTTTACAGCAGTATGCCTCTGAAGTGGTGTGATTTTCAGGTCTCATACTTCAGAGTAATCAGGGGAAAGCTGAGGTTTGCTACTGCAAAAATTTGGAACTGTCTTTCCCAAAAAATATGTCTGAAATCATCCAGAGCATGAAAGGAACATGAGTTACTTAAAGGCATCTCTGCCTTCATTGTGCCTTCAAGGTTTTCACTGTGACTTTGAAAGGATCACACTAAGTAAGAGGTTTTTAGTCTTAACTCTAGTTATGTCACTTGTCAGCTGTTAAGATAGCAAAAATACCAGTTGTGGGACTATCTTCCGTGTTCAAATTGGATACACAAATCTCTGCCTCCCCATCACCCTGCACAGCAGGGTTTGCGTTCGGTACATGAAGCCACACTAAATAATCTGCATGGTAAAAAAGGAGGATTTTTTCAATAACACTAGAAATTCTTGCTGGTTTTACTGTGCCTTAGAAAAAAGTTTGAGATTCTGTGAAGTCTTGAGGACTAGTACTTCATTTGCCAAAAATGTTGGGAGAGTCCACCTTAGAACATTTGTTTAAAAATCTCTCATTTTCCTTAGTGAGTTACCCCTTCTCTAGGGTTTGCACTACAACTCTGCAAAAAGTCAGGCTAAATCTGCCAGGATTCCTTCTTGCTCAAACCCCTCTAACCTGGCCTCAGAGGATTATGGTTATGAGCAAAAAGGCAACTTAGAATCCTTAAATTTAAATGCCATAGCTAAATACAATGTAATGCAATGCTCAGCTGGCTGATTTCAGGTCTGTTCAGTATAAACCCGTATAATATCTAGAGTGGTCTTGTGTTGAAAGCAATTTTTTGTTGTCCTTTTTGCCTTGCCAGATGATATCTTCCTACATGGATTTACCACAAGGGCAGGTGGGATCTCCTACATACCAACTCTAAGCTCCTGCAATCTCTTCAGCAGTTCCAAGCGGAGGGACCCACAAGTTGTTGTTAAAGAAAATCTTCGCCGGCTAGCTAATGCTGCAGGATTTAACCCAGAGACTTTTCACAGAGTCAAGGTATCTTATCAAACAATTGATTTCTGTAAATAGATCAGATCTTCCTTCATGTATCACTGGCTGAAACTGTAGGCATTGTTCTTCTTTCTCAGCTAGGACTTGTGGGAAGCAGGACAACTAAAATATCTATGCTGGCAGTTTATCTGTGGGAATAGCCATCCAAACATCAGCCATTTGGCACTATATGGAGAAGCAGCACTGTTTCTTCCAAGTACATTCTAACATTTATCTTACCATAGACTAGAAAAATCAGATAAATGATCAGAGCAGTTTCTCTTGAAAGAAAAATGCATCGCTCCTATGGTGCCTTTCTATTGATAGAGCTGCATGACGTTTGAACAAAGGAGTGCTTGATTTCCACACATAATCTGTTGGTGCAGAAATGTTTCATGCCAAAGAAAAATCTTTGCATTAGTCAGAACTGCGGGTTGTGGGTTTTTTTCTGACATATCACTATCCATGTTCTGGTTTTGCCTTGACAGGTTGATCATGCTAATGCTGTGTGCATTATGGGAAAGACCGAACCTGACAGCTATGATGGAATAGTTACGAATCAGAAAGGTGTTACAATAGCAGCTCCAGGTGCTGATTGCATACCTGTGCTCTTTGCTGATCCTGTCAGAAAAGCCTGCGGTGCTGCTCATTCTGGTAGGAATTTTAAATCACAGAGATCAAAATAACTGGGAGACCACTGGAAGAAAGGGAGTTACAGACTAAGGAATACAAATCAGCAATGAAAGGAGCACGGAGTGAGAATGAATAAATGCAAGGTCACATAGCAGTGTAGATCCTACCCTGCCAAAACAAGATTAGACTTGAGAATAGTTTGTTTCCCAAGCTATGCATTTTTAAAGTATTTTATAACTGTAATAATGATTATTTATATATTTATACATTTATTTTTCTGATCCAGTAGCCAAAACCAAGTAATTTTCTTTGTAACCTATCTTACTTCCTACATAAAAAATGGCTCTAAAGCAAATGCCCCAGTAATCATTTCGGATCAGAAGAAATTTTTGTCTGTAAAACCTAATGAGAGTAAAACTAAAGCAAAGATGGTTAGCACAACCTGGGATTATGTCTGATTTCAGAAGACGTCACAGCTGTTGGGTGAGAACATATATCCTGTGGGGAGATTTTCCTGTTGAGGCTACTTCATTTCATAAAAAAATCATATTTATAAGGTGAAGGAGACTGCACAGCTGAGAGTTTCTCCTCAGCTTTGATGCCAGTACACCCCTTGATATGGCAGGAAGCTTCATCTCTGCCTAGAACCTGTGAATACCACCTAATTCATACAATTCTTCATGCATTCAATAAATCAGCCAAAATAAATTCAAACTTGTGATCCATCATTAGATGATCAAAACTTTGACTTCAGTAAAGTTGGGGGGGGAGTCCCCACCCGTTGCCTAGCAAGCTTAGGTTATAAAAGGTGAGAGGACTGAGAATTGTGGCCTGTGTCTGGGAGGAGAGGGGCTTTTGTAGTTTTTAACGGGGAGAAGGGATGAAAATAATTTTATCTGCTCTTGAAAGTTTTAAGTTTTATTTTGCAAGTGTTCAAACCTAATTATTGTTAAATACTTTAGTCTGTAGTTGCTCCTTTCTCTGCTGCCTCTTCATTTGCGTAGTCCCTGACACACTGCATTGTTTCCCCAGCCTACACCACTGCCTTCTCCAAGCATACCTCCCACATCTAGCCTGAATTCCTGCCTTGCATCTCTCAAGTTTTGGCCTTCATTCCCACGTCACAGTCCTTGCCAGGCTTCCAATTATCTTAAGTCCTTTCCTGCCTGTCCAACCCCACCTCAGTTAATGTTTAACTTGAACACGTTGCTATGTATACAAATCAATTAGGTATAAAGTCACTCAGTCTTTGGATGTGGAAAAGCAGAGGAAAGGTAATTAGCATATGCTGTCCTTCATTATGCCACACTCCCTGTGCAATGCAAAGCTTCCCGAGAATCAAAGTGAGATACAAGAACTCAAAGATGGGCTTTCTTCTATCCCAAAGAGTACCATAGTGCAAAGCTGGGCTGTCTTCTATCTATGCCAAACAATATCTCTAGCTTAAGCCTCTTGGGTTTTTTTCTCTAAAATAACACTAAAACCATTTTCACCCTATCACCATAAGAATAAGCTTCTGACTGTAACATATTTCTGTTGTCATATTCCCATTTAAATGTTTCAAGCAGAGAAGAAGCTGTAAATTATGTTCTAATAGCCCAAACCAGGACACTGGGAAAATGGAATTTTGGAATCCTAATCTAAACTCTTCTCTGTAGTTTCCATCTCCACTAAATTATATCAGCAGTTAATGTGTTGTGTTTTTTTTTTTAAATAATTGTTGTTAGATATATTTATTTCAGTTGCAAAGTTATCTATTGGTTTCTACCTTTAATAATAGCATATATTTTCAATACTATAAAATTAAAGAGACAATTTATACAATTTTTTCCTCAACCTCTCATTTCTCACAGGATGGAAAGGCACATTGTTAGGAGTTTCTATGGCCACAGTAAATGCTATGGTATCTGCATATGGCTGTAACTTGAAAGATATCCTTGTGGTGCTGGGCCCGTCTGTAGGACCTTGCTGCTATAAACTTCCTCACGAGTCAGCGGCAGAATTCCACAGAATTGATCCAAAGTGTGTGAGACTATTTGACTCTGCAAATCCTCATATTGATATTAGAAGAGCAACACGGTAAGCCTACTGCATGAACAAAGACTAATTCCACGTTAGTTATCAATAACTATTTTGATATTGTATTATCTAGCACTGTTATGGTGAGGGTCCTCACCATCTTAAAGTACTCCCTAGTATTTTGCAGATCAACAAATGATACCTGTGAATGAATGGTATCTGCTCTCTTTTGCTGGGTTTCGACCATTATTTTGCTTTTTTACTGTCAGTTTATGGATTATAGACAAATATTCAAATTAAATTTATTGGCTGCGAAAATCAATTATTCTAGTCTAATACTGGAAAAAAAAAAGAAAAAAAGCAAATGAAAGACCAATCGCAATAGTAGCACTGTTTGTTCAATTGGTACTTGAAGTGCCATCTGAATGATAGTGTCTTAAGGAATATGACAATGTACAAAAAATATTATTTTCTGTTTGTCTTTCTTCCTACAAGGATTCTTCTTGAGAGGGGTGGGATTCTTCCTGAGAACATCCAAGATGATTCTGTCACAGACCAGAACCAAAATATCACTTTCTGTACTGCATGCCACCCTGATAAATTTTACTCTCACTTTCGTGATGGGACTAACTTTGGGACACAGATTGGCTTCATATCAATCAAAGACTGAGATGGTAACTCTTACTCTTGAATAGTATTTAGAAAATAAGGCTGGTGCATTGTCTGGCATCCCTCTCTTCTCATAGATCTTTTTTCCTTTCCCAGACCTGCAGTGAGGAATAATGGGTCTTAAGATTCTCCTGCTTCTTCTCTTCCCTGACATTCTAAGGCAAGAATAAATGTCTGAGGTGTGGGGGCAATAATTCTTGTCTGAGACAGGGTGCAAAGGAAACAAGAGCAAAGCCCTTCTGCAAGGCCAGATGCAAGTTCCAATTTTTTTGAGCCTCTTTGACCAAATATTCCCCAGGAATCTCACTGACTTAGGGTGGTGGAAGCACAAAAACCCAGTCTTCGTTATCTTTCAGGTGAGAGCCTGAAAAAAGTGACAGAACTATGACATACTAAAAGAAGCATGACATTACTGACACAGGAAGGGAAGCCTATATTACACATTAACTGTTAGAGAATACCCAACTTCAATAGTTTCAGCAGAAGGTTATTATGCAATTATGTGCCTGGGCTTGTTTTGGGGTTTGGGTTGGTTTTGTTGTTTTTTTTTTTTGGGGGGGGGGTGTGTTGTGTTGTGTTTTTATTTTTTCCTTTGGATTAGTTTAAAGAAGACATCCAAAACACATTATTTTTCCTATGGAAAATAACTTGAAGGTGAGAAGCAAGGAGATACTGGGAGAGGGGGAGATATGGAAAAAAATTAACCCTTACTATTTTGTATTTTTTGATTGTAGAAAAAGTAGGACTTAAGACTCTTATTATTATATGGCATGTATGTTCATGTTTCCTTAGGATTTTTTCATTTAAACTGTTGGTGCTCTGCTAAAGTCTATTGAGACAGTCCTAACAATGCCAAGTTAGTTAATAAATATCTAAAAAGGGGGGTGGATTTAACTTCAGTTAATTTTCCTGACCAAGCAGCTGTTTTCTGGGAGCTGAAAAGCTAAGGCAAATCTTCATACTGCTGTTAATGCTACAGCTTTGAAGTTACTAAATTGATAAAAATGTCCCACCATAAGAAATTACCCTGGTGCTGCTTGAACTCAGCCTGAACTGAAGGACTTCACCCCTGGCAGTGTTCAAGGCCAGGTTGGATGGTGCTTTGAGCTACCTGGTCTAGTGGAATGTGTCCCTGCCCATGGGAGGGCTGGAACTGGATGATCTTTAAGGTTCCTTCCAACCCAAACCATTCTATGATTCTAGGATTCTCTCTGTTTTAGTAAGCTAATTCTAAGTGTGCACTGTTTTCTTTTGACCATAAAAAAATCCCTCTCGATGTTACAGTAGATGTGATAGTTCCTCATACATAGACAGTGAGAGATTCCTAACAGTAAGCCAATGCTGACTGTAAATTGCAAAGTTGCCAAGCATAAGCCTCGGGATAACTGTCCGCATGACGTATTTTCTATTTTGAATTCAACGATCTTGATCAGTTCTAGACTTCTATGTCCACTAGAGGTCAGTGCTGGCTCACGCTGCATTTCCAGCCCTGGCTGCACTGCACATAGGGGTTTTCAAACCACGCATTTTGAAAAGTGCTGTACAGCATATGCTACTACTTTTGCCTATGTAAACATCTGCCGAGTTATTCTGGCAGCAATGCTTGAAGCGTAATCTATTTTTCATCTCATTGGGCTGTGATTTAGAGCTGACCAAATTGTATCTTTCCTTGTCCTCTGAGAGAACAGACATTTTAAATAACTTTCCTTTACCTGTGAATGGTATTTCCCCAGAAGAGAGCCTGGTTCCGAGTATGTTACCTTCTGACTATAACCACCTCCCAAAACAAAACTTCTTTCAACTCTCCTTCCTTAGAAATATGATTCCTCTTCTGCTGTAGCACTGCAGGCCTTGACAGTAAAAATTCTTACATTTTCAGTTACCACTTATAAACCTCGTTGTTGCTTTCATCATTCTCAGTTTCTTTAGTATCACTGTGGTGATGTTCATAGTTGGGTTCAAACTAGAGGTTCATGCTCCAGCAGGGGCAACACTCACACTCCTCAACTTAATGTTGCCAAGCACGTTACTGCACACTACTTGATGATGTGTGTGGTATGTATATGTATGATGCATATTACTGACTTATTTCAAATATAGGATAATAAAATTGTATGGACATTGACAGGATTATCTTGCTGCGCTAGGTAAAAAAAAAACAACAGCCTACCTTCATCTTTTAATTCTGTCCCTTTGCACTGGTTGGCATCTAAGTGTGAACCACTTTATGAGCACTGATGGATATAACAGTGACGTGAGTAAGGTGTGTCCTTCTGCTGTTTCTGCTGTGGGGGCAGTAGCCCCACAGAGTCTTCACTCCCTGCACCTGAAGTTCTGCCAAAGGTCATTTGGCAGTGCTCTTCGCATAGCCCTCTTCCCTTGTGGATTAAGAGCATGCCATCAAAAGCAGCTGCGTTACTCAGTTTTGCAAGGACTGCTTGACAGCTAAAGCATCATGGAACCACAGAATGCCAGGTTTGAAGAGACCTCAAGGATCATCTTGTTCAACCTGTCTTGGCAAAAGCACAGTCTAGACAAGATGTCATAGCATCCTTTCCAGCTGAATCTCAAAATTGTCCAGCTTTGGGGAAGTGCCAATTCCTGGGTGAGAATATTCTAATGGCTGATTGTTGTTATTGTGAAAATTTTTCTCTTGTGTCCAACCAGAATCTCCCTGGGAGTAACTTGTGCCCATTGTCCTTTGTCTTTTCTGTATGACTCCTTGTAAAAAGGGCGTCTTCATCTTCTTTGTAGCCACCCTTTAAATATTGGAACATGGTGATTAGGTCTCCCCTGAGTGTTCTTTTGTCAAGGCTGAACGAACCCAATTCTCTAAGCCTTTCCTCATATGGCAGGCTTCCCAGTCCTTGGATCACCTCTGTGACCTTAGCTGCCCGTGTGCCTGCTGTTAGCCCATCTCACCTCAAGGATGGTTTTAAACTAATGCATTTAACTTTGCAGCAAGTAGAAAGACCTTGTAGCCATGCTGCTACAGTTCAAATGCTCAACAGTATATTAAGTCACAGTAACATGATACTGATAGTAAGCCCTGGTTTGTTCATGCCTGCTCAAGAGTGACAGCAGTGACTTTCTGTTTAGAAAAATACCACTTACAGGTTGTAGTAGCACTGTGCAAGCTGGACACCATGTCAGAATGGGCAGAAGCACCTAAGGCTTTACGTTTAGAAGACAAATTGTTACCACAATCATTGTTCATTATTTCTTTTATAACGAATTACCTAGACTGTAAACCTGTCAAGACAGAAAGCAGCCATTTGTACATGGATTACTGTGATAGAGAGCTCCAGGACCAATAAGAAAATAACAGTAATGTTCAGTCGCCAAACAGGCTAGGCTGTATATCATACAGACTTTCCTTCAGAATTCCTCTCTACAAGGCATTTTAATTCTCATATTAAAAAATAAAAAAGTTTAGAAGAAGGGCATGATAAAAAGGAGACAAGGCTGTTTCACAATTCTGTTTATTCACTTTTCATTCCTGTTGCTCACTGGAGGAGCTAAGCAGAGCAGACCAGCCCTGATTCACCACCTCTAGGGAAGCTCTTAAATGCTTCATAAATTTTTCAACTGTACTTACCTAATGATCAGATCCCATTTATTAACCTTGCCTGTAAATTTATAAGCTACATTTGCCCTATATTTTTATTAAATAACATTAAAAATTATGATAGTGGTATGCCCTGAGGTAACCACAAGACATGATCACATTGAATTTTGCTTTTGATAACTATTACTGTGCAGTTAGCATTTGTTACTATTGTAGATTCTGAATACAGGTCTCTTTATTTACATTTATATATTTGAATGTAGTGTACCAAAACACATCTGAGAAAAGCTTTATTCACTATTGCAGTAAAACGGGGCAGCTCCAACACAGACTTCTGGTTCCAGTGCTTGCGGAAGCAGTGTGCAACTTCAGAGGCATAGATTAAAGCCTGAGATAATAAGTGAAATGTTCATCCAAACTGTGGCACTTACTGCTACAGGTATTGCACAGGTGAAAAGTATTAAGGGGGTGAGATGAAAAATGTTTTTAACGTATTTGTAAAGGTTCAGTCCATTGGTGACTGGTAGTCTTTCTCTACTGACAACTTGAGGAAACAGACTGGGGGCTGGACAGTTGTTAGTCTGAGTTCTGCGGCTGATGTCTGCATTTCTGAGCAGCTGCAAAGTCAGAAGCTGTGGGCACAGACCTTCAGTAAAACACCTGGGTACATCTGAACACACAGAAAGTGTATCATTCCTCACAAATTACAAGCATTCAATTACAAGAAGGTGTTTGCTTTCCCCAGCAGTAACCAAGTTGCAGAGTGGTTGTCTTTGCTTTCAGTCTTATTTTCCTCATGTTTATCTCCTGTGCAGTGCTTTTTCTGTCCAGCACTACTGACAATTGTCCTAACAAGGCTTGTGTTGTTGGAGGAAACAGATGCCATTGCACATAGCAGCACCAGTGTTTCTTGCTTCTGTATGCATGTGCCTTTTTTTTTCTTTTAGCAGCCATGTATGTGAACCTTTTTGCCCTCAGCACACCATCTTTATCAGTGTCCTTCAACTCATTCCTATTTTACAGATTTCTGCAAGAACCCCAAGTTTCCAGGCTACACAGCAAAGAATTCAATATTCCTGGATTCCCTCACTGCTGTCCTCATTTCCACTCCATGCTTAATCTGCTGCTGGGTGATGCGAAGAGGGAGATGAACTACACATACTTGTCCTGAGGCTCAGAGTGGGTTCGGTGTGCTGCTCACCTTGATGTCATGTGTGTGAAGCTTTTGTTCTCTGAATACCAAAGCCCTTCCTGAAGTCCAGCCTCTTGCGCAACAATATAATAGGCCAGTGCACTGATGGGACCAGTAAATCCTATATGTAACAGAGGAAGTAATGTATTGACCTGCTGAGGGATTTACATACCTCTAAAGACTGATAGCAAGCCCTGCCTGTAAGGCTAACTTGTTCTACTTTACATTTCCAGTAGTTACTATCCCATCTTTCCAGATGAATGATTCAGATAGAAATGTATATAGATTTAAGAACTGTCCTAATTTGTATATTCTTATATCCAGGATGTTGATAATATTTATTCAGTGCCACACTTTTTTATAAGACTAAGAGATTTTGCTGCTTTGCTTGCTTTTAATACACAGTGCCTGTGGCTGTGCTGCTAAAAAGCATGATTATGGATTTCCCAAAGGCATGCAGAGAAACAGGAAGCTAGCTTTTTTAAGTGATCCCTCTGATCTTTCATTAGTAATCGTTTAATTTACAGTACCATCTCACATTACAAATGCTTGGCTGGCTGTCTTTATCTATGAGCTCTCAGGGGTCAAAAGAGGCCCACAGAATTTCTGGAGCATGGTCCCTGGAGGACAGCAGGACTGAGGTCACTCTCTTCCCCTTCTGCGAACATGGCATTATATCTCCAGGGCAACCTGAATTCTGGCAGTCGTGGGAGCAAGGACACAGCATGGATTTCCATTTCATTCCTGCAACAGAAAAGAGATCTGAGACCAAAATCAATATATGACTAAAATATGAGAGTTCATTTTCACAGTTAATTTTGTCTAAGGGTTCATTTCCTCTCTTCTTGTGCAAATATAATTCACAAGTTACTAACTACTCCATTTGTTTTTCTGGTGTTTCCTCTTCTACACATAGTGAAGGTCTAAACATCTGAAATAAATAATTGCAGCTTAAAAATCTGAGGTCTACATACCCTAAAATCAAACAAACGTTTTATAAGGAGGCTGAAAGCAATGTTTGCATTTCAAGATCTATAACTTAACTATTACTCATGTGATGCAAATTTTTTAGGCAGCGATTCATAGTTCTGGTCAGATGTTTCAGTTCAAAGGGATTTTATCAATGACAACTATAGAAAACCCTGCCTATCTGAAATAAATATCTGAGCATGTCTCTTTGAGGCACTGAGCTCTACCCTAAGGGAATATTCAAACATACATCCCTGCTAAAGGAAAGTGTATTGGTTCTGCTTTGGTTTTCTTTGTTTGAAAGCTATAAGCTTGATTTTCCTGCACAAGAATGAATCACAAAAAACTCAGTTGTGAAAATAAAGTTGTGACAGGTGGCTCAAACCCTTTTGGCTGGTTTTAATAGGTGCTTTTAGTAAGTGCTTCAGAAAATTAGCATTAAATAAAACAGGGTTATGCAGGCAATTTTGTTCTGACTCTTGGCTGGCTGTCTTATTCATCATTCCCTCAAAAAGCTTTCAGAACATGAAAGGTGAACAGAGCAAGATGCTCGGTAGAGAGACTTCTTTAGGCTTGTGAATGTTGCTATATTTGATGCTTAGATCTTTCTCAGTTCCCTCAATTACCATGCAACTTTGATCCTTAAGTTCCCCAAGTACTGAAACATCCTAGCTCACATGCTAGCTATGGCAGAAAAACAAGTGTAGACTTGATGGTATCATTTCTTCAGCCTATCTGATGCTGCCACAAATGACATTATGATAAAATACCACATCACAACGTTGAGATATTGGGAGAAAAATTTCCTGAGCAGCCCTTCATTTGCTTGAGATTTTAGGAACTATAAGTCAGTAGCATTTTTTTTGCTTTTCACAAACTGGGGAAGTTCAAGATAACATTGCATGTTCTTCTTATCTAGCACATCTTCATCAGAGCAACATGGGTCAGGTTTTAGAGTCTTGTCCATTGTACAATTATATTGCTGTAATTTCCTTTAACAACGGCTTCTTAAGAAGAGACTTGACTGCATATGCATTGGCCAGGAAATGCAAAATGCAGCTGACTTGACTTCATGATTTTTGTGTGACTATTTAACATAAAGTCTGTCAGAAAAGGCAGGCACCATAACATGGGAAAATCAGACTGCTTGAGCTAAGATGTTCTCATAGGAGAAAGGGTAAGGATTCAGACCAAGCTAATGGCTCGTTTCAACATTTTTGTGATGACACGTTTCAATCTGTCTTTTGGAACAGCTCCTCGTTTCCTGTTTTGAATATTAAGAGCAATCTGAAATAAAGCATTTAAAACTGAAGAAGTGCCATCACAAATTAAAACAAATACTGAAATCTCGATCCATGCTGAAACTAGAGTCTGTCTTCCACCAGGCTCATTTTTCTATTTATGAATATCTATCTGCATGAGCTAATCCTCTTATTTCTTCAGTAAATATTTCCTTTGTAGATTGTAGATTGTTATGTTCCCTTCAGTAAATGTTTAGCTAAGTTCTACATGCAACATTTAGCTCCACTAGTCTTTCCTAAGATGATCTGTCCAGCTCTTAATTCTCTAAATTCTGTCCTGTTAATATCCATTTGGTGATAATAAGTTTTCACTTACACGCTCTTTTAGAAGGAGAGTGACATTTGAACTTTATGTGGAGGGACCATTTTTCTGGTAGGCTTGCAAAGTTGTGCTTCTCAGTACAAACAAAGCTTGAAGCTGAATAACGTTGATGTCCCTTAATTCCCTCCTTTTCAAGAGTCATAGTCTATTGCACTTCGATTAGGATCTGTTTTAGGCTTCCTAGCTGTAAATCCCAATCCATCACAATGTTCCACAAGCAATCTTCATGATGGAGGCTCAAAACAGAAAGTGAAAAATAGTTGGTATGTTTGAGAGTGACACAAGATTTATGGTAGGAGAACGTTTTTAACCTAAGCAAAAACTTTTTAAAAATCTGATGTTGGAAAACTGACATGAGGAAACAAACACAAAAATAATTCCACAGCTTAGGGGGGGGGGGGTGGTAACAAAGTGTGTGAAAATGAATATTCATCCCTTAAATTATATCCACCATAGGGCTGAGTGCCTTTGTATGTAATGATTTATCCCCAGTAAACTGGGTTGAGGCTGAAAGAAAAGAGTGAGGTTTTGCTGAGGTCGTTTGCCTGCTGTAATGAATGATACCAGAAAGGGAGGATACAGCCACATTCCTTTTAGCAAATGAGTTAAAGAGTGCTCAGGCTAATGATGAACCATTTTCTACTGAGCCAATATCTGAGATTGAAAAAACAGCCAGTCATTCCTTGGCTCTGCAGATGTCTTGGAGGCTGTTACAAGCAAACAGAAGCAGGGAACAGAAATCTCCTTTGGGATGCAGCTAGCCTGAAACAGATGTCCATGGTGAGGCAGTGTTGGACAGAAGAGGCAGAAGAAGACAGGGTCATGATGATGAAGACGTTTCTACACCTGCTCATTAAAGATCTAGTGCAAGAGTTTATTCATGTGGAAACACGGCCCCCTACCCTATTGTCTGAGTAACGCTGCCAAGCATAATCCTATGTGTAGTTATTTGCCAGAGTTGCTAAAGCTATCAAGGTTATTTGTGTGGTCAGGATTTTTCTCCAGAACCTGTAAAGGTTGGAGTATTGAATACTTACGGACATGTTCCAGTTCTTCTCTCTTTTCATTCCTAATTTAAACCCTGCTATAGGCACATCATTTACTCATAAGCTTCGAATCTATGCGAACAGGGGGAGCACCAAAGTTAATTGTGTGGAGGCAGATAACCACTATATATGTTATGTACATGCAAGATTCTGGGACCTCGCTGAGTCCAGAATAATTCCAGTGAGGGGCAAATCTGCCCTTGCCCACTCCAGATGTATTTCTGGACTGAAACTATGGAAAGGAAGCTGCTTTTTGAAATTTCACTCAGCTTGGCTAACAGCCCAATTCTGCAGACTTGGAAGATTTTCTATCATAATATTTCTCTGAAGCTAGCTGTGAGAATAAATGGTATGAGGTATGTTTGGCTCAAGAGCTAAGAGTTTCAAATTTTTGAAGAATCTTGTCTTGTTTGTTATGGAGCAACTCCCAAACTTCTTGCTTAGAAGTCCAAGCTCCCTGCTGCTATGGGGCCCCGTCTGAACAGCTTGGCTGAAAGGGAGCAGCACTCTCCTGTGTGAATACTTACATTAACATTTGTACTCTCAACCATACTAATTATTACAGCAGAAATAATTTCACAGTGGACAAGGCAGATTGACGTCCTGGTCAGTCCTGGGTGGGCAGACAGAATAAGGGTGCTAAATATGGTGAAACTACTCCTTACTTGTACGGCAGCCATCTAAGACTCTGGGCAAGGCTGTGGTGCTGGGGAGAGACAGATCATGAAGAGGAATAAGCCTGTTATTTTGGGTTCTGCTAGAAACACATGGAATAGGTCAAGACTTTTTTTGCACACTACCTACTGTGTATTTTGCTCCACTCTGCCCAATGGGAATTTACTGAGCATCTTGAGTACTATTTCTTTTGGCGCAGTAGTTATTTCTGATACCCTTGATGGTACCTAGCCCCTGGGGAGAGGCTCAGACATATTGGTACAAGTAGATCCTTCAGTGATCAGTTGAATATCCTGTTATTACTGCACTTCTCATGAGAAAGCATGAAGAGAAACTTCTGTGAATTTACAGCGGTTTTATTATTCTGTGTTGGTAATGCCACTATTTGGGACGTTAGTGCCATGAGCATAACTGACAAGATGGTCAACTATGAAGGCATAGCACAAAGATCTGAGGGGATCCTCTTCTAGATAATAAAATCTATAGACCAAGAGACCTGTAGGGTTGTGCCAAACTTTCAGGCCCTGAAAGTACCATCCCAAAATTTTGGATCTGTGACACTCATACCAGATGTTCTCAAAGCTGGGGAAGGAGAGGGGGAGATTTCTAGGAGACACCCAAAGAACAAAATCCCATGGCTTTGACTAAGGTATGTTTGGGTGGCATCTGCAGCTGAGTTTGGGGTCATATAGGGCACCCTGAAAGCACAACATCTGCAATGAAAAAGCAACCCCTTTTCTTTAAGTTGTGGGTCACAGAGTTGTTCTGGGAGCTATGATGTAATGCCATGTCATATTTTAAGACTGGCTCTGGCTGCTATTAAAAAGCCTGTGTGTGAAGTGCACACTTTTTTAAGGGATAGGATGTCAGAACACATTTTTGGTCTAGCAGGAAGCATGCTATAAAATATTTCTTCTGTAAGGAGTCAAAATTTCCAGGTATAGGTAAGGCCCTTTGTTTCAATAAAAATCAGTGTTGTTGCAGTAATGTAGTAAATACGTTCTGAGTTACCGCTTTGACCAAACCAACTTTGACAGTTTTGTTCTCAGATTCTGCCAGAGTGAACAGTTTCTACAGACCATCTCAGGAGATTTTGGACTGTTCAGCCTGGAGAAGAGAAGGCTGCGTGGAGACCTCATAGCAGACTTCCAGTATCTGAAGGGGACATATAGGGATGCTGGGGAGGGACTCTTCATTAGGGACTATAGTGATAGAACAAGTGGTAACGGGTTAAAACTTAAACAGGGGAAGATTGGATATAAGGAGGAAGTTATTTACTGTTAGGGTGTTGAGGCACTGGAATGGGTTGCCCAAGGAGGTTGTGAATGCTCCATCCCTGGCAGTATTCAAGGCCAGGTTGGAAGAGGCCTTGGGTGATTCGGTTTAGAGCGAGGTGTCCCTGCCCATGGCAGGGAGGTTGGAACTTGATTGACCTTAAGGTCCTTTCCAACCCTAACCATTCTATGATTCTATGACTGTTTCCTGCTTCCTGCCTTATCCACTGTGGGAAGCAGCATTTTTATTCTCGTTTATTTATGAAATGAGCAGAGGGAACAATTTAAAATTGCTGTAGCATTTTTTTCTCCTGTTTACAGATTGCAGTTTTCATAGGTGTGTTTTTGAGTTGGACAGTAATTAAAGTTTTCAGATTTGAGGACATAAGTACAAGCAAATGTTTTGTTGAGGTCATTGTTTGTGTTTCAGATTTACTGATCAGCTGTGATTAATCAGATTAGCCCTTCGATTGGAGGAGTGAGAGTTACCTTTCCCCATGCATAGCTGCTTGGAACTGGAAGCGTGGTTATGGTCATGAGTTCAAAATCCTCTTGATGTGAGAATAAGTGCCAACAAAAAATGAATAAAAACTTGTGAAAACAAGAATATAAAAGGTAAAACCATTACCAAAGAGAGTGTTGAAGTGAATAGTCCCAGATAACTTTGAGTAGAAAATTCACTTTTATAGAGAGTGCATCTACCTCCTGTAAAAACAGGAGTATGGAAGCAGTGTTAGCCAAAGCCTAGTGGTGGTCTGAGGACCTCGCAGGAGAAGGGCAGTGCTCTGACTTGTTCCAGTGTGGGTTTGCATAAAGCATAAAGACCACAGAATGCAAAGGGCCATTTCCTTTCTC